GAAAGAAAATCGCCAATACACCTATAGGCTGGGAGGTGACTTTCTCAGCAGCGGAAAGGGATTTCGGAGTCATAGTTGACTCCAAAATGAACAAGAGTTGTCAATGTGACGAACCCATCAGTAAAGTCAACCACACTCTGTCCTGCATTAGCAGGTGCATTGTGAGCAGGTCCAGGGAGGTGATCCTCCCTCTTCATGCGGCACTGGTCAGGCCGCAGCTGGAGTACTGTGTCCAGTTCTGGGCACCGCACTTCGGGAGAGATGTGGACAACCTTGACAGGGTTCAGAGGAGGGCCACTCGCATGGTTATGGGCCTACGGGTAAGATCCTATGAGGACAAATTGAGGAACCTGGATCTCTGCAGCCTCTGCAAAAGAAGGCTGAGAGGGGATCTTGTACCATTTACACATTCCTGAGGGGGGCAGCAAGAAATAGGGGATACTCTGTTTACCAGGGCACCCCTTGGGGTTACTAGGAACAATGGCCATAAACTGGTGGAGAGCAGATTTAGATTAGATGTTAGGAAACATTTCTTTATGCTGAAGGTTGCCAGAATCTGGAATGGGCTCCAAGGGAGCTGGTGCTCCCCTACCTTGGTGGTCCCTAAAAGAAGACTGGACAAGCACCTGGCTGGGGTGTCTGATCCCAGCGCTCTTTCCTGCCCAGGGCAGGGGGTTGGACTCGATGATCTACCGAGATCCTGTCTGACCCTGACATCCATGAAATCTACAGAATCCCAGGAAATGACACTAAATGAGTCAGAATAGCAAAAAGGTTTATTAGAAAAATGCTATAAGGCATCAGGAACCACTAAGATATAAGAATAAACCAAGGGAAATATCAGACCAATGCTTTTACTTTATCCCTAAACTCTAAAAAAGCAGCTTCTGTCCAAGCCAAAATCTTCCCCCCAGGTTTTCAGCCTGTGCTGCCCAGCTAAGCCAATGCGGGACTAGAGCATCTTACACCCAAGAAACTGTAAAGTAAACCAGTAATGCCTAACCAGGGTGCCTTGAGATCCTTTCAAGGGTGCCTTGCAGTGTTGGCATGGTTAGGTGTGCAAACATGATTCACGTGATAAACCCAGAGCTTTCAAATAGGAATCCATGGTGTTAAAACCATGCTGCCCTGTTGCGGTCTCTCTGAGTCCCATGCAACAGGAGAATTGCTCTTGTATTATCCTGTAGTCATAAAAAGAGGTGAAGACTAAGAACTGGCCTTTTCTGAGGGGGTCTGGAGCCTAACAAGGTTGAGAACCACTGGTTTAGACAAATACTTGCTCTCATGGCCAGGCCATACTTAAGTATGGTTTCTTATTTGGCCATTTACACATATCACTCGGCTTGGCAGAATTTGATTTTTATTTTTTTTAAATAATGGTGATGGATAAGATCAATGTTAATTTTTATGCATATATTTTGATGTTTATTGATTTACATTTTCAGGATTGTGCAAAATTAGGGGCCAGACTATTAATGACCAATGTAACTACTGTAGGACTGCCACCAGCCAAGCAGGAAAATTGACTCCACTCACCTGTAGCTCCCTCATCCCCTTTGTCACCTCCTTTTCCTTTGTTCCCAGTCCCCTGGGGTTTCTGGGAGTTGCAGTCCGAACTACAGTCAGCACGGCTATATAGGACTGTGTCGTGACCAGGGATCCTGCTTTTCTTTGATTAAAAGAACACAAGAACCCCAATTTTCAATTAAAAAAGCAACCCCAAATACACATTTTCCTATGACTTAAATGAAACACCATTAAAATACAGATATGTATATATTGGTGTTTCATTTTAATAATGGAAAATACTTTTGTTAACCGAAAATTGGGGATTTTTTTTAAGTCGGAGAAAACCAGGATCTCCTGGTCGTGACACACTCCATCAGCCATCATTTTTCTTACATCCCATTTCTATACATTTTGATTATTTGTGATGGAAAAATTTTTTCATGGGTCTGTGAGATGCAATCGAAGTTTATCAACATCGACTGATACACATCAAATCCTGCCAAGCGTATATCTCACCCATGAAACTGCTGGGGTTCCCATCCTATGCACACTTCCACACTTCTTGCCCCTCGATGTGCATCTGCTTAACAGCTTTGAAGTCTTCCCCAACCCAGTTACGACCAGGTGAATCCTTACATCCTTTCAGATGTAAACATTGCCAACTGGATATCCTTGAATATCATCATTTATCTCTGCGAGCCATAGGTCTTTCACTTATTCCCTCCAATAAGTCTGTGGCTGGACTGTTCCCCAGCTGATGCCTCTTCTCTTTAAAACAGAAGCTATCATGGCCTGTGAGCATAGGTCTGGAGTCATGTATCCACCCGACCACCTGTTGGGGTGCTAACAACAGGTAATAGCCTGCCTAGTTATTAAATGTATGCTTCCTAGTTGCTTACTCCTTGGATGTGGGGCTAGGGCAGCAGCCCTAATTGTTGCCCTGTTAAACAATCCTGGCCAAAAGAGGAAATATAAAAATACTTTGGTACCAGCCAAATACCCCAAATCATAGACATAAGGAGGGGATAGCTAAACATAGTTTAAGGCTATCGATCTATAGAGATGGCACACAACCTAGCAGTGAAGCCAGCCCAAGAAAACCTCTGCGATATTCCACGAACGCCTCAAAAAATGGTGAGTTCGTGACAGGGTGCTTGCTCCCTTTCCTGCCCCTCCGGCCACTTCCTTTTCGGATGCAATCCATCTAGAAAGAGCAGCACTAAAAACCCAGCGCTGGGGGAGAGGCTGTCTCCTGGTCCTGCAGCGTGACTAGTCTCTCAAGCAAATGTATGCTAATACATGCAGCAGCTGGTCTGGAAAAGGCAGAGTCCCCGCTATCCGGGGACAGCTATGCAGACTGCTTGCGGCAAGAGCTCCTGCCTCTGAGGGAGTGGACTTGTACGGGGAGGCCGGCGAGGGCCCCTCACCGGCTATCCACTCAGCGTTCAGGGCCGGTACTTGTGTTCGAACTGGCCCACGTTAAACTTCCTCTTGCAGCCAGCGTAGTTCATGTACCGGATCTTCCCGAACACGTTCCGCTCGGCCCAGCCTTGGTCATGGATGCCGCAAATGGACCACATGCATCCTGCCGCACAAACGGGTTCCCGTCAGGTTGCCCAGCCCTGCCTCGGGTCCCTAGACACCCCCCTGCCAGCCCTGCTCCCATGTGGCTGCATCACCTCCCACCCTCAGGCCTGGCCCCGCGCAGGCCACCCACCGACGTAGCCGTTGGGGTCCCTGCCGTCCAGCTCAAAGCGGTCGTTGAGGTAGATGGCGAAGCGCAGGGCATCCTCCGGGGACCGGGTCCATTCCAGGATCTTCTTGGCCCAGTACATACGGAGGAAGCCATGCATCTTGCCCTCGCGGACCATCTGGATCTGCCGAGAGAGGGTGGGAAATGCTGTGAGCCCCCTAGCCCTGGGGCAAGGGAGGCGGGAAGAAGAGGGGCCCGGCCTGGCATGGGGGATGCCCCCATCCTAGGTGCGCAGGATCCTCAGACTGAGCATCCAGGTGCTGGGGGGGTGAGGGATGTGCCATGTCTGCACCCAAAGAACAGGCTCTTTGAGCCAAACCCACCAATCGTGCTGCCCACGGGCACCACGGACCCTCTCAGACCACGCTTGGTGATACCGTGATCCCCAGCTCTGCATTGCAGGGCCCACTGGGACATGGGCTCTTCAGCATGTTGGGTGCAGACACACCGGGAAGGGCAGAGGGAGGCACGAGCTGGTGCAGCTCTGCGAGCGAGGCACAGGCGGCTGGGGCAGGCTGGTACCTGGGCCGCGTTCCAGAGCTGGTCGTGCGTCTTCCCCTCCTCCAGCTGCTGCAGGTCGTAGAGATACTCCCGCTTGTCTCTGGCGTGGAGCCTCAGCGTGTCTCTGGCCCAGTCATGTGCACCTTCGAAGGCAAGGGCCAAGCCCAGGTGAGATATGGAGCGTGTGGCACAGCAGGACTCGCCCAGGCTGGGGGGGGTGGGAATGGCAGCCAGCTCCACAGCCTTGAGCTGTACCAGCAGGCAGGGGCAAGCTACCCTTTGCCCCAAACCCTGCCAGCACGTCTCAGGCCTACCCTGAGGAGGCCACGGTCCCTGGACTCTGGGCGCCCACGTGCCCCGAGCAATGCAGCGATAACCCTCACTAGGGCTCACCCTCCAGCAGGAGAAAGCAGAGCCCAGGGCGAGAGCAGCTGAAGCCTGGCTACATGGACCCCTTGGCTGGGAGTGAGTCAGGGCTCACCAAAGCCCAGAGTCCAGGTGTTTTCAGAGCATGGACTCATCCAGCACCACCTCCAGGAAAGCACCTGTGCCCCTGGGGCCAGGACACACAGCCCCTCCTGCAGAAGATACCGCTCTCCCCCAAGGCTCAGCACAGCTCCGGACCCTTTCCCTTCCCAGGGCACACCCAGCATTGCCCCTGCTCCTCCAGGCCGTGGCGTGGTGGGATGCTTGGCCTGCGCCCCGGCCCCCATCCAGCCCGGCTCCCGCGGTACCTTCCAGCTGGTCGTAGCTTTTGTTGTAGAAGCAGAAGTTGTCCGCCAGCTCTCGCCGGATCACGGCCTCCTCCACGAAGCTGTCGACAGACTCCCGGTGGCGGTCGCGGGACTTCTGCACCTCCAGGACAGCACGTTGCACAGACACCTGGCCTGCACCAAAGAGGAGGGCATGGGGCATGAGGCCTCTGGTCCTGGCATCAAAGGGGAGGGGGGCCTGGGCTGGGCATGGAAGTAATGCCAGGCCCTCCAGTGCCCCCCTCTTGTGCAGGATGGCGCCTGTCCTGAGCTGAGCCCAACTCACCCACCTGATCAGGCGGCTGCTCCCCCAGGGAAGCTCCCGGACTGGGAGGAGACGGCTCCCAGCCCGACCCGGTCCCACCCGCAGCGCTAAAACCCCCCGGGTTCAACTCGACCACCCCGGGGCTTCTCACCGAAGTGAAACCAGGGCGAGAGGTTGCTGAGCGCGGGCTTGTTGGGGTTGTTGCGGTACTCGCTGTACCCCGGCAGCCGCCGGGCAACGAATGCCTGCAGCACCACCAGACCCGCGGCTGTCCCCGGCGTTGCCCACTTCACCTCCGACACCGTGCGGTCCACCTCCAGGCTGGCGTAGCAGGCGTCCCAGTCTATGGGCTGCAGGGACAAGGGTGGGGGGGCAACCGCAGGTGATTACAATACTTAGCTGGCAGGGGAAACATTAGGGCCACCAAGGTGGTTTTCCCACTGGCTGGGGAAAACCACGGCCGTGACAGAGAGCAGCACTGTGACCCAAGTAATGCACAGTTAGCCTCCCACTTTCACTGCCAGTGGGAAGATCACAGCTATACACCGACTTTATGGAAATGGGAGATTCCTCCCTAGCTTGCTCCGGCAGCCGTACGGCTGAGGGCAAGCGAAACTTGGGGGCATCTGAACTCACACCCTCCAAGCGCGCAGGATGCCCGCCAATGGATTGGGAAGCATCTGAAGCCCCAGGCATGGGGGGAGGATGCTTGCTGGTAGCAGGGCCACACATGCTTCTTGAATGACTCACAGATTTGGAATTGATTTGGCTGATTTGACATGAAAAATTTTCTTTAAAACAATAAATAAATTCCAGCGCGTCTCAGGACAGGCTGCGACAGCTGGTGGGGGTGCTTCCAGCCAGCCGGACCTTGCTCTGTCTGCCCCCAGTAGCTCTTCTGTCTGCTTTGGGTTACAGAGCCAGGACCTGCAATACCAGCGGCCTGGGAGATATGAGGCCTGGGTTTGGCTCCCAGCCCTGCTGCTATCCGGACGCGACCTGAGCCACCGACCCCCTTGCATGCTTCAGTGTCACCTCCCCTGGGGAAACAGAGAGGTTTGCACTCCCCGGTGGCCTCGGTGAAGCTCAGCGTCTCCAGGGCCACGTGCCGTGCAGCGAGGGACGCTGGGCTGGGTAGGGTCAGGCGCATGCCATCCCTGGCTGTGCTGGTGCTTAGCCAGTCTATGCCACTTTGCACCCGACGTCTCCCCCCCAGGACTCCCAATCCGCCCCCCCGAGGAATCCCGCGGGGCTCCTACCTGCGCGGGGGCCGCGGCGGGGAACGGGTGCTGGACGATGGGGGGGAACTCCGTGAGGAACTCGGGGAGCTGGGCGTGGATCTTCGGCCGGATGGTCCTGGCGCCGTACTCCTGCTTGTTGGAGGCCACCCAGCAGGGAACGATGTTGTGAGCATCCACCTGGGAGCGGGGCAGAGATGGGGAAGGAGCTGGCAGCTGCCCGCGACACAGAACAGGGCAGCCGGAAGGGTACCCGAGCTGCCAGGGGGGCGGAGGGAGCTGTGGGATCCAGGTGGACGGAGGCTTGGGGCGCACAACCATCTCCGGAGCTCACCTGCTTCCTAAGAACCGGGACTTCATCCCAGCCAACAAAAGCCCCTTCACAAGGCACTGCCCATGCCCCACTCGTCCTCCCACCTGCTTCGCGGTGCTCCAAATCCTTCCACGCAATGGCGAACGCTAGCGCCATCCCTGCAGCTGGTGCCAGGGGTCCCTGCCTGGGCTCAGCTTAGCTGCTTTTCCAGGAGCACAGCTGCATTTCCCTTCCACCCCGGCCCTCGTTATGGATCCGGGCCCGCTACGGCGCGTAAAGCCCCTGACAGCTCTCCAAGGAGCCCTGCCTGCAGCCCACGTGCCAGTCCAGGGTGGTTCCCCCTGTTCAGACCCGCCCGGTGCTGCTCACGTCCCCCGGGACCAGGACACACCTGTACCAGCGGCACATCCTGCGGGAGCCTCTCCTTGACGTCTTCCACCCACTGCAAGGGGACGCGGAGCGGGGAGAAGTCGGTGACCACCCCGCCGATGCCATGCCTCGTCACGAAGCCTGGCAGCACGTCCTTGGCGTAGCCCTGGAGCAGGTGGAAGGAGATGCCCAGCTCCCCGCACTCCTGCAATACGGGGATACGGCTCGGTGTCAGCCCCTCCGGGTGGGCGATCCCTCCCCGGCTCCGAGCCATCTCCCAGGACCCGTACCTCGGCCACCTCCCGCAGGCCTTTGAGCAGGAAGCCGAAGTGGCGGATGGTGGCTTCCAGGAACTTGGGCACCAGGCAGAAGCAGACGTGCAGAGGGAGCTGCTGCTTCAGGGCCAGGCGCTGGGCGTACAGGAAGGCCCAGTTATCTGGAGGGAGACAGCCCGCAACGAGTTAAACGCACGCCTCACCTGGGTGCTGCGCCCCAAACCTCGTCCCCCAGCTCCTGCCAGCAGACTCAGGGTTTTGACCTCGAGTGGCAGGAGGTGGGGGGGGATGACCAGCCCCGTGCCTTGGTTTTCCCATCTGGAAAAGGGCAATAATGCTGCAGCTGCGTATGCAGGGCTCAGCAGCGGCAGAGCAAAACCCTGTGTCAGCCCTGCTCTGCCCAGCCAGTCGTGGACCCCCAGCAGGCAAGATCTGGGTCTGCCTCCGAGGGGAAGGTGGGGTCACAGCTGTGCCCTCCCCATCCCCGCGGGTGCGTCACCTTGCACGCGCTGGTCCCGGGACATCCAGTACAGGATGCCAAGGGCGCCATCCTGCAAGTGGGACTCCTGGGACAGCAGCCGCACCCTCTTCTTGTTGAACTTGAACTCGCGCACGGACGGGGCTGCTCTGCGCCGCGCCTGCTCCACTGCCTCCGCCAGGCTCTCCGCTCCCGGCGCCGCCTCCGCGTCCTGCCGGCCCCGCTTACGGCTGCCCGACAGCCCCGCGTCTGCGCCCGCCGCCTGCTTCTGCTTCTTCGGGAACATTGTCCGCTCCGGTCCCCCCGGCGGGCAGCGCGGCAGGAGCCGAGCCCAGGCCCAGCTGTGCCTGTGGGCAGCTGCGAGGGGCACAGTGCCGGCCAGCACCTGCAGGCTGAGAAACAAAGCCCCGTCGTCAGGCACCCCCAGAACCAGACGCGGGAGCAGGGTCGTGGGTCTGCCCTCACCCGCGTCTGGGCAGGGAAGGGAGGACGGGGCCGTGGGGGGCAGAGGAAGCAGGGCCCCGCCACCCCCGCAAACCAACACCCGAGAGAAACCAGCTACGGAGCCGTTCCACCTTCGTGGCGGGCGGCTCTTTTTCACAGCTGGATGGCCATTGTTAGCACGCCTGGCCGTGTCTCCCGCCCTGGGGCCACGCACGTAACGCGGGGCAGCCCCCGGGCCTGGGCAGGCTTCAAAGCACCCCGGCGCCCAGCAGAAAGTTGCGGGGGCATTCATGGGCGCGGGAACCCCCCCCCCCGCACCCCCCAGGCTCCTGTGTGCTGGGGACCCCTGCTCGGAGCCGGGCCGGGGCGTGGGGCTCACCCCGCGCAGCTCCAGGATGGGCCCGACCGGCGGGGCGGTGCTCGGCGCTGCGCACACACGTGTCTTCCGGAGCCGGCGGGAGCGGGGCCGGGCCGGGCCCGGGCGGG